CAAAGGCGTATATCTCTCTTACCACATTGCATTGAAGCTCCTCGCACTGCCTCGCCCACCTTGGCTTGTTTGAGTGCCTGACCAACAAAGCCAAGCGTTACATTCTGTTGACCTGGGTTGAAATCTGAAAACGATATTACAATTCGCTAGCTTCCGATAAGCTTCGGCGTTTTCGGCTCACATTTTCCTCTGCATTACGAAAAAAACCTGTTTTAAACAATCTGCGCATTTTTTTAACTAGAGTGTTGATACTTATCTCTTTCTCGTGTCTTGTGATTGTTTTTGTGAAGTTTCAGCTTTGACTGTTTTCTTGTTGACTGTTCTTTTGTTGTGAGCTGATTTTCCTGGGTCTTGCCCAATTCTCTCTCCTTGACATTTAGGCTGAAATTCGTGATGATGACATTAAGTAACACATAACATAAAGTAATCAGACACACCTTTACTCGACACCCCTGTTAACGTAGCCTCCCTTTCAGTGGTTCTTTTGGCTTGTCACGCAGTCCTCCCCTACGTGGGGCAGTAACTTGTGACGACCCCTTGAGGAGGTCTGCGTGGGACACTACTATTAACGAGACTTTCATTGGAAAAAATCTTGTCTTTCCCCCCTGAAAACCATGCACAAGTGCGGACCAAAATCTGCGGCTGTTACCCCCAAACCGGCCAATGTTATAGGGAGGTCCCTCGGTTCATCTTCTTGATGGAGCACAGCAGTTTCCTTCGGAACAAACCAATTTACATAAAAGCTTACGAAGTATGATCTTGGGCTAATTAAAGGATTAAACAAAAACAATAAGAACTAATTCTACTCAAAAGATCTATTCGGAGACTAGTGACACAAGGTGATTCAGGGATTGCGACATTTCTCTTCTAATGAATTGAAACGAGCCTGCTTTGTAAACGATCTGTCATTTAGTGAATTAAGCAAACACTTTTCTTTGTTCTCTTCCGTAAACTGTCGGGGTGTAATACATTTCAAGTTTCACAAAGGGCGCAGCTTTCAGAAATTTGGGTATCCTTATCGTCTCTTGACGAAGCCAATTTTTTAACCCCTTAAACCTTAGGATCAAAATTTGAATTCTCATTTGTTGCCCCTGTTGATTTCCTACAGAAGTAGGGGGAGAAGTTGATAAAATATAAAGCCACTGATTCATCTCGTGTGATCATTTCCATAAGTTCTCATGAACACTCTGTTTTACAAAGTAGTGATATTGCAAGGAGAAATTTGATGCTGATCACTCTTAGGGCTTAAAGGGTTAAAGTTTTGCCATGGTAGAAAGGAGAATTTGTCCTTTGTGTTTTTGTTTAGTGAGCCCGATTGAAATATACTCAGTACTGCATCCATAAACGTGATCTCCTTGACGCTAAAAAGGCCAGTTCAATTCCATAATACCTGAAAACAAACTTGACAAACTGTTTTATCCGTCATTACACCATGAAAATCTCCTCTGCCGCAAGCTTCACAATACTTAGTTCCACAGAACCTGCACTTGAATATCTGTAAATTTGAATCGAAGTAATCAGATGGAAGCCAGTTTAAAGCGAATCTCGCTTAGATGAGTTGCTGTATACCACGTTTCTTGATTTCTTGTAAGAGTTTGCCTTTTAGGTACCTGCTTCAAAGCTTACCTTTTACACAGGTTTGATCTGTGCGTCTATATACTAACTTGTGGACTACTAACTTGAGCACGTAATAATCGGCCGGTCGTGACTATTCGAATGAAACCTTTTCATTTAAAATGCCTTCACATGCGCCACGCATTTGGTTCTCAATAGTTCAAAGGCATAATAACCTGACATACCTTACTTTTTTCAGGGCAGCCCCAGCGACCCATGTTTGGAATCCACAAATTGTTTAAGGTAAAGAAAGTTCAGTTCACCCAAACTTGATTTGAAACATAAAATAGTTGCGCTTTTTTGACAATAAGAACAGCAAAAGTTTGCTTCTAAGCTGAGCTATCTGAGCTCCTACAGTCGTCTTCTACAGAAACATTATTTATATGTGCACAACGTGTGGTATCAATATTTTAAACTAATTGACAGCTTGTTTACAATCCTGGGCTGTAATGCAAATTACAATACTCACAAAGACAGAAAAAAAGGCCAACTTAACACTCCCGCTGACTTACATCATTGTCATGATTATATTGGTTTCTAGACCTTTCTACAGCTGATTGTACATTTCAAATTTAAAGCTATGTCAAGAGGACAGTTTGACAAATGGACGGGGGTCGCGGGTCGCGGGTCGCGTGTCGCGTGTCGCGTGTTGTACGTAGCGGGTGGGAAAATTGGCGACTTCCAACCCACACCCGCAACAAACATCTGCGACCCGCGACCATCAGTCAAACTTTCGAGACTGATATTCTGATATTGCTGTTTTAGGTCATTTCTGTGCTGTTCGTAATTTTAGTGGCTCCTCTAGCTATAGATCAGAGTCATTGTATCAACTTGCGTGTGAAGAAGATAACAAGAACATTTCACCATTACTTGAAAAAGTTGGCCG